AGGTGGCTAGTTTTCGGCAAGAGATCAGGGGGCTCAAACACGAGAATAAGGAGTTGTACATGCTCGCAACTAGTTACGCAACGAGCATGAAGAGAAAGCTTGACCAGCTGCAGGAGTCCGAAGTTTGGATTCAGAGTGATCATCAAAGGTTTGTGGCGTTACTCCAGAGGCAACTTTTGCCTTCGTCCTCTGAAGTTTCACCAAGCGTTACGGCTCCGGAAAATCAAACTCTGGCGCTTCGTTTTCCTAGAGCTCCGTCGAGTGCTGAGGCACCACCTGACCAATAAAACTCCCTCTTGTTTATTTGCACATTCTTGTAATAATAACTTTTTATTTTTATTTTTATCAAATCAATGTTCCTTTCCTACGAAAATCAATGTAAAAACAGCTTGTTTACCCCCCCCACATTTAAACTAAACATTGTCCTCAATGTTTCAAACATAGACTCACACATAAGCAAACTAACTAACTAACTAACTAACATGGCAACATGGCAAACATGGCAAAATAAGTGCAGTAAAGAGAAGGGTTTAGGAACGCAAATCTGATTGTGGAGTGATTCCTAGGTCTTCCTTATTTGAATGCATGGGTTGCCTCCCAAGAAACGCTTGCTTTAACGTCTTTGAGCCGGACAAGACTTCCATTCAAACTTTGTTGGAGCCCACGGCATGGAATTGATCCTTGAATGGAAGGTGATACTTGAAATGATCCGGCAATGGCTTAAATTCTAGAATGGGTGTCTGAATCATCAAAATCAACATGTTAGTATAAAACGTAATGGAAATTGGAGAGGATGACTTACTTGCTTTGTCCGACAAGAACTCAATGACAAACACCACTTCCTTGAAAGTTTCAGGGACTTTGAATTTGGCTAGATTTACTACGATGGTTGTGATTTGTCCCGTGTTATCAAACTTAACTTCTTTGGGCTTTATTGTTTCAAATACGTCATCTTTGATGAATTCTTAACATTCTCCAGCCACTTCTTTTTCTTGAATCCTTCTTCTTGATGTACAAAGTTCTTCAAACAATTCAACACAATCTGAAACTTGGTTTGATGTACCAAGAATTTGGATATCACTTTGCACCTTTGGGAAGGCTTCCACGATGTCTTTTTCACTCTCTTCTTTCTTGGGAATCAAAAACCTGCGAGGAAAATGGACATTTGGTGGAATAGGGTTAGAATTAACGGAAATTGGTCCCAACTTACCTGTGTTGGATGGTGGTGGAGCTTTGGGAAGTTGCGGCAAGGGTTCTTCTAAACTGCCCATGTTGTCCTCCTCTTCTTCTTCTTGCAGCAGCAATTCATCCACTTTCGGGCTATGTTTGGACGATTCTGGGACGGCTTCATCCTCAATTTCACTTCCCAAAGTGATAGCCTCAGCAATTGCAAAATCTTCCATTGAATTTACGATGTTTGCGTTGGAGAATTCACTTTGTTCTTGAATTTGTGCCATGACTTCCACAATCTCTCCCATTTGATTCTTCAATTCACCAAACTTCTTGTCTTGATTGTGTAGGTCCGGCGTCAAAGTGGTTAGTAATTGAAGAATTTGATCACAATCCATGGACATACTTGAATTTGATTGGAATTGTTGTAGGGGGAGCTATGGTGGCTCATTGGCGTTAAATAAAACTCCTCAAATTGCTGCCAATATCCGTCTTGTTGTACCTCCTTGGCTTGATTTTGTGAGCTCTGCACCAAAGAATTTAATTCATCAAAAATTTGATCATAATCTATTGACGAACCTAAGATTGATTGGGCATATTGTATATGAGGTTGTGGTGGCTGCATAGGTCCTGAATAGAACTCCTCATATGGCTGCTAATATCCTTCATGTTGAACTTGTTGAGCTTCCCACCACATAGAGTTTGAATTATCACTCCAATCTCTTTGTGGACATTGATTGGCTTGATATCCTTGCCTATAAGACGCACCAAATGTAGAGACACTTTGCATTGTGGTCCTTTCGGCATACTGCGACATTTGAGAAGTAAGATTTGCCAATTGAGCTTGAATGCTAGAAAAATCCATGTCTTACTTCTCTAGTACCTAAAATCAAAGAAAGAAAACTAAATCAAATATCAAAAGTAAAATAAACAAAACAAAACAAATCAGAAACTAAAAACAAAAGACACGAAAAAGAAACAAAAAGAATCAACGGGGGATTTAGCAAAGTTGCTAATCCCCGGCAATGGCGCCAAAATTTGATGCGATGAAAGTTAAGCACTCAAATTAAACTCTCTTTTGACAATTGTAGTATATGTATAAGTAGGGATCGTTCTGGACCGGGGATTAGGAAGGATTGCTAATCTAAACTAAACTGACTTACAAAAAGAAACTTAAAAACACGTAACTAGACTCTATAGACTCAAAACACTTAAAAACACAAACTAAAACAGATTCTAACTAATTAGACACACTAAAGTAAAGGGGGATTAAGTTTTGGACAAAAATAAAGTAAAACAAAACATAAACTAGAACTAAACAGATTTGCACGAAATTGGTTGTTTTGGATGGATGATGGGCTAGCTAGAAGGTCTTTCTCCACACATGACACACTTGCATACAAATCAATCTCCAATTGCTTTTCAATAAACTATGATGCTCAACACCCCAGATTAACCGTGATGCACAAATTAACCCTCAGATTTTCCTTTACTCATTGAATTGGATGAATGCATGCGACAACCCAAATCATTCTCTAAAAGTCCCATATATGAATGCATAATAGAGATACAAATAAAGATCATTACGTTCCATGAAAATCATAAGTGTTGACGAGACAATTGTAACTATGAATGCATGATACGTTTGCCAAGAATTCAATTAACGCAATTGTGACAAGCAACCTTCACTACTCATGAATATAAACTTGTAACGATTAGGTGAAACTTATTTATATCCTAACATCAAATTCATGCATGAAAACTAAGTACGCATCCTTAATAAACATACACAAATCCGTTATGAATAAAATAGATAATTGAATTGCAATCACAACTTATCAAATCACAATTGGAAGAAATCAATTCATATTGCAAATATATTCATGGTTTCGAATTCTCCTCTAGCCAAAAGAGGTTTAGTTCCTCATACTTGCAATTAAACAGAAACAATTGAAATTAAACATTGAAAACCAAAGTAGAATACACCTAGAATGCTCCAGCAATCAAAATTGAATGACTAGCACAACTCCAAGCAATCCTCATTCCTTGCAAATATGCGGCACCAAGGTGTGAGTGGTGAATGAATGGTCTCTTGTGGTGGTGGATGGATATAGGTGAGTTATGGTGAATGGTGGAGAGTTATGTAGATGATGTGGTGTGTGTGTTTTTGTGTGGTGGATGGATGTATTTATAGGCTAGGGAGAGGATGTAGTGGGTTGTTGTAATGAGTGTATGTAGTGGTAGGTGAATGTGTTGGGTGGTTGTAATGAGTGGATGTAGTGGTAGGTGAATGGATGTGTTGGGTGAAATGAATGGATGTAGTGGTAGGTGAATGGATGTGTTGGATGAAATGAGTGGATGTAGTGGTAGGTGAATGTGTTGGGTGAAATGAAGGTGCTAAAATGGTTATTTATAGGGGGAGGATGATGCACAAACTTCAAATTTCGTCCATTCATTTTGCTCCAAGCATATGCTATCCATTCCATGCCCAAAAATGCTCCAAAATGCACTTCTTTGCCACATTAACCCTTTGGACCTACAAACACACGAAAATAGCTTAAAATACTAAAATAACTACGAACTAACAACATAAATGCCAAGAAACAAGCTAACTAAGTCGCATAAATATGCTCTTATCATTTTGGAGCTTGAAGTTCCATACATTAGTGTAATTGGCGCTTTGTTTTACTTAGCTCAGTGTATTCTACATCTCCTTCGCTGTCAATCTTTTAACAAGATATAGCAACGCGCCTACATGCAGGCACTGGACTAGTTTTAAAGAATCATTTGTTACCTTAAGAGTACTTTAGATAATCAAAAGATAAAAAGAAAGGGTAATGCTACACTTGTCATATTTTCATCACACATTTGTACTACCTCTTGAGTATAAGTGGGACCACTGACACTTCTGAGTCTTATCTCTATAAAAAAAAAGGTGGCACAAATGTGGGTTGTGTAGTATTTTATAAAATGAAAATAATCACAAAATGAAAATACATGGCGGAATGTAGTGCTCTTTGTGTTTGTGATCATGGATGTGAACTTGTCGCTTGCTGCGGCATGTGTTTTATTAAAAAACTTTAATTAAAAAGTCAAGAAAAGTATTTTGAATTTTTTACAGACTCGTTGTCGTTGTCACATTGAGTACGATGATAAATTAAGTTTATGTAATGTGTAAAAGTCCTTCCTCAGTGGAATCAGTCAGTGAATGGACTTTTTTATTGTGTATGTCGTTTTGCCACATAAAATAAAGTGCTTTTTGTCTTTTTATAATTGTCATTCTTCACTGCATTTTAATCCTGCTGACTACACCTACACTAGATCTACCTGATTAGCACTTTCAACGCGCAAAAACTTGGATAATTTCAAGCGCGGAGGCGATACCTCAGTCAGAAGTTACACCAGATGCATTCCAGTTAATATTTCAATTAATTTAAATAGTCAGAAACTGGTGAGAATTTTCCTCCCATTGACATTTAGTTAGCCTGCATGCAGTTAATAATCACATCATTCTTTTTATTTTTGCCATGGTTTCCTCAAGATTAATCAGATTATTCTTCCTTTGTACACAAATTTTGTTACTCATCATCAAAGTTAATTTCACTCAGGCCCTACTTGGACCTCGTGGTGATCCAATATCCCACTGTTCTAACGACAAAGGTAACTACACCACTGGCAGCACCTATCAAACAAACCTCAATGGTCTCCTCTTTGACTTACACTCTTACAACAACGGCTATGGATATTTCAATTCCTCCCGTGGTGAAAACATTGACAGAGTTTATACAATCGGGCTCTGTCGAGGACTAATTAGAGAGGACGTTTGCAGTATGTGCCCTACTGACGCTGAAAACTATATAAGGGAAGGTTGTCCTAATCAGGAGGCAATTGGATGGCAAAACGATTGTATGTTACGCTACTCAAACCGCTCCATATATGGCATGATGCAAACTAATCCAGATTTCTACCTGAAAAATGATGCTAATGTATCGACGGGCTTGGATGCGTTCAGTCAGGAGCGCTCTCACTTGCTTAATCGACTAGCACAAAAAACAGTAACGGGTGGTGATCTTCGTAAATTCGCAACAGGAAACGCAAGCATTCCAAGTACTGATATAACTATATATGGACTTGTTGAGTGCACCCCAGAATTATCCGAGCAAAGTTGTATTGATTTTTTAAATTATACTATCGGAGTGTTTGGATCATGTTGTAGTGCATCAATTGGTGTGAGAATTGTAACACCAAGCTGTGGCTTAAGGTACGAAAATTTCACCTTTTTTTACGATACAACTGAGACACCAACGGCCAATACTGCGATTCCAGGAGGTATTACATCTTGGCATCATTTTTCTATCTGAGTAATATGTCTGATTCTTTCCATCGGATTGTAGCAAATTAATTTGTAATTTGGTTCTCAAAGTTTAATAAATTATCATTCATTACACCAAGTCATAGAAAAGATTTATAATCCGATTGTAAGAATAAGCACAACCTTTATAATATACTTAGCCAAGAACACAAGAATTTACCAACTAAATCACAACCAACGCATCAGATATGTTCTACATATGCAAATACTGAAGTAATATCTGCAACACATACCTGCAGACTGTTTGACAAAGTCTTTCCCATGTGTGCTGTCAGAAGACAGCAGATGGTACAGCTCTGGATGCCATTGGAAGGCAGTCACAGGTTAGTTGTATGCGTGTACTGTGGACACAGACGTTATCATCTTCATCAGTATAAGTTGTCAAGATCTTAAAGAAACTCGACAGATTCTCGTTCTCCATAAGCCTCTCTGATGAGATTCCATATTTATGGTTTTGCAGTACAAGACAATCTGTACTCAACTTCTTAAGCAAGTCCGGATGAAATCTTTGAAAAATAGTTCCTTCAATAACGGCGTTCTCGGTAAATTGTAAAGTTTGTATGTTGTAGTGTATATAACAAAGCCTTCCTGTAAGGCCTAAGATATGAAATTGATTTGAAAAGCTGCCGTGTTTCTAAGTTTAACACAGACATGTTCATGAATGAAGAAGCCATGGACGAATCTACACACAACCTTCTCCTCTCTGCAAAACTCAATGCTCTCCAAATTATAGGTAATTGGAACAATAAGAGCGTATCTTTGTGAGAGCAGGGGCTTGTGGTTTTTATATTACAAAATCTGGATTACCCTATAATAATCCTACAAGGAATATAAGAACAAATCCTTGTACGAGTTCTATTCTTAAGCTTATCAACATAGAGTTTCAATCCAAACCAAAGTCGAATTAACTCTCATAAACATATTAAGACTTCTTTAGAGCAATCTGAGACACCAAGGATTATTACCAAACCGTATGAATCACACTCATACTCTAACACCGATATGATCAGAGAAGCTATATTTCTGTTTTGTGCAGGAAAGAAGAGTAATACTTCTCGGACTGTCATCATTACGGTTGTCACAGTTGTTATTTCCCTGGTACTAATTATATCGATCTGCATTTATCTGAGAGTGAAGAAGATGAAGGCAAAATTTGAAGGTAAATTTAGATCGGTTAATTTTTACTTCCCCTCAAACAGAATGACTTCTTGGAACATTTACTGTTGATTTAAGCGTAGACTCAAACATTAACATATATGTATCCTTTTAATTAAATATGCATGCAATGGCCTTATTTAGTTTTGTTTTTACATTGCTACTCTCTCATGCAAAGAAGTAGATGAAATTCGTAATACAGAAGCCTTGCAGTTCGACTTTGGCTCTATAAGAAGGGCTACAAATAACTTTTCTGAAGCAAATAAGCTTGGACGAGGTGGATTTGGTGCTGTTTACAGAGTAATGAATCTTATCACTAACTGTTGGTATATGGTCCAGCCCATGATCAATGTTCTAGATTATTTTAGTAAGCAAGTGAGATGGCTGGAGCATGCTAGACAATTCTAGCATGTTATTAAGTTGATGGAAGAAGCTAGAGAATACTAGCTTCCTTGGTTGCAAATGGAAAGATCTAGAAGCTACAAATTTGTAGCTAGTCTAGAATTATCTAACTTAGAGGTTGGTAGAATAGTCTAGAAACTAGGAACTAGTTCTAGTTTGTAGAAGGAACTAGAAACTAGTAGAATGTCAAGCCCTCACCTATAAATATGGGTGTAGTGTTGTAATCAAGAACCAACCAATCAAGAGAAGAGTGAGTAGCAAAGGATCAAGTCCAAAGCTAGAGTTCCACTCCAAGAGTGAGAGTGAGAGTGTTCCACTACACATTGTGAGTGAAGTTTAGAGTGATAGAAAGTGTGTGTCATACTTTCTTGTATCCATCAAGCCTTGTCTTTGGCTTGGTAAGACTACTCTTGTTGTACTCATCTTTCTCATATAGTGAAGATTGATCCTTGTTTCGTGGACGTAGGCATAAATTGCCGAACCACATAAATTCTTGGTGTCCATTTTCTACTTTACCTTGTGCATTCTCTATTTTGTAGTACCGACATTCCTAACAAGTGGTATCAAAGCCAGGTTGGCTCGTACTACGAGATGGAAGGAAGTGGCACTATGATCAAACTCACCAACTCCAATTGGGTAACATGGAAGCCAAGGATGGAGGACATTCTCTATTGCAAGGATCTGCATGAGCCAATTGAAAGAGATGCTACTAAGCCTGAGAGCATGTCTGATGCCGAGTGGAAGAAGATGAATCGCAAGGCAATTGGCACAATTAGACAATAGGTGGACGATAGTGTTTTTCACCATGTGTCTAATGAAACCAATACCCACGAGTTTTGGACGAAGCTTGAGTCCTTGTTCGAGAAGAAGACCCCAACCAAGAAAGCCTTCTTGATCAAAAAGCTCGTCAATGTGAAGTACAAGAATGGTTTAAGTGTAGTAGAACACTTGAACAATTTCCAAAATATCATCAACCAGTTGGCTACTATGAAAATGACAATTGTGGACGAGCTGCAAGCGCTATTGCTACTTGGATCTTTGCCAGACAGTTGGGAGACCTTTGTGGTGAGTGTAAGTAACTCTGCTCCTAATGGTGTTCTTACTCTTGATAATGTTAAAAATAGCTTGCTCAATGAAAACACAAGGAGAAAGACTTCTGGCACAGATAGCAGCCAAGTATTTGTCGCAGAGAACCGCGGAAGAAGCAAGAGTAGAGGACCTAGAGGTCATGATAGGAGTCCTAACCAATCCAAGTCGAGGTTCAGGGGTGCATGCCATCATTGTGTCAAAGAAGGCCATATGAAGAAAAATTGTCAAGTTTGGAAGAGAGAGCAAAGAGAAGGAAACAATCAGAAGAAAGATGATACTGGCAATACCACTGCAGTTCTATGTGGTGATGTAACAGAAATATTGTTCGTTGGTGAATGCCTGCATATGGGTGATTCTGACAAAGACATTGAATGGATCTTTGACAATGGAGCTTCCTTCCATGCTACATCCAAACAGGAGTTCTTCAGTACATACAAAGAAGGTGATTTTGGCATAGTGAAGATAGGGAATGAAAGCTATTCCAAAATTCTTGGAATTGGTGACATTTGCCTAAGAACTAATCTCGGCTGCCAGTTGATATTGAAAGATGTGAGACATATTCCTGACATACGTCTCAATCTGATATCCATTGGTACCCTTGATCGACAAGGTTATTATCACCATATTGGCAAAGGAAAATTGAAGCTTACTAAAGGCTTAATGGTGGTAGCAAGAGCACGACTTTGTTGTACGTTGTACCGGTCAAATGCCAAGGTTTTGAAAGGTGAGCTGAATGCTGTGGAGGACTTATCTCTAGACTTGTGGCATAAGAGGCTAGGCCACATGAGCGAGAAAGGCCTACAAGTTTTGGCAAAGAAGTCTCACATTCCCTTTGCCAAAGGTACGACGTTAAACTCTTGTGAGCACTGTTTATTCGGAAAACAAAGAAGAGTTAGTTTTTCTATTCCATCTACAAAGAAAGGAAATTTGTTAGATCTTGTTTATTCAGATGTGTGTGGTCCCATGGAAGTCGAGTCACTTGGAAGAAATAAATATTTTGTTACTTATATTGATGATGCTTCACGAAAGTTCTGGGTGTATTTGTTGAAATCCAAAGACCAGGTGTTTCAGACATTCCAGGAGTTCCATGCCATGGTGGAGAGGGAAATTGGGAAACTTCTCAAGTGTCTTCGTAGCGACAACGGTGGCGAGTACACATCTTACCAGTTTAGAGAGTATTGTGCGAAACATGGCATACGTCATGAGAAGACAGTTCCTGGAACTCCACAACATAACGGTGTTGCTGAAAGAATGAACCGAACCATCATGGAGAAAGTCAGGTGTATGCTGATGACTGCAAAGTTATCTAAGCAGTTCTGGGGTGAAGCTGTAAGGACAACTTGCTATTTGATCAATCGATCTCCATCAGTACCATTAGGTCTTGATGTTCCAGAAAGAGTATGGACTGGTAAGGATGTGTCTTACTCTCATATGAAGGTGTTTGGTTGCAAAGCTTTTGTGCATGTGCCCAAAGAGCAGAGATCGAAGTTAGACTACAAAGCTACACCGTGCATCTTTCTTGGTTATGGCGGTGAAGATTTTGGTTACAGATTATGGGACCCATACCAGATGAAGGTTATCAGAAGTAGAGATGTGGTTTTTTATGAAAATCAAACAATTAGGGATTCAGATAAAAAGGCACAACCAGATGGCGCAGTCAAATGAGTTGATCCATTAGCTTCAAATGAAGAAAGTCACGGTGACATCCCTGAAGCAGCTGCCAATGAAGTGCCTGCAGAACCAGATAATGCTGATCAGAGGGAGCCTGATCATGATGTGCCAAACCATGAAATTGCTGATCAGGGGGAGCCTGAAAAGCAGGTTCAAGAAGAACCTAATCAGGGGGAGCTTCCAGCCTCGCAAGAGAATGAAGACCAGGTCAGAAGATCCAGCAGAAGTCGAATACCGTTTACCAAGTATTCTTCATTAGAGTATATCATGTTGACTAATTATGGAGAGCCTGAAACTTATGAGGAGGCCAGAGCTTATAACGACAGTGACAGATGGATGAAGACAATGGAGTCAGAGATGGATTCCTTATTAAAGAATGATACCTATGAGCTGGTGGAGCTTCCAAAGGGCAGAAAAGCATTGAAAAACAAGTGGGTGTTCAAATTGAAAAGAGATGACAACATGACAAGGTACAAGGCTCGTTTGGATGTCAAAGGTTTTGGTCAAAAGAAAGGAGTTGACTTTGATGAGATTTTCTCACCGGTGGTGAAGATGACTTCCATTTAAGTTATCCTTGGTATGGCAGCAAGCATGGACCTTGAGCTCGAGCAGTTAGACGTTAAAACTACATTTCTCCACGGTAATTTACAAGAGGAGATATATATGGAGTAACCCAAAGGCTTTGAAGTCAAAGGTAAAGAAAATTTGGTGTGCAAGCTCAAGAAAAGCTTATATGGTCTTAAGCAGGCTCCGAGACAGTGGAATAAGAAGTTCAACTCATTCATGGTGAGTAATGGGTACAAGATAACTCATGCTGACTCTTGTGTCTATATCAAACAATTTTCTGGAGGTAAATTCATCATTTTATTGCTTTATCTTGATTGTCGGTCAAGATGCTTTTATGATTAAAAAGCTTAAAGAAGAGTTATCTAAGTCATTTGACATGAAGGACTTAGGGCCAGCCAAGCAGATTTTAGGCATGGAGATAATTAGTGACAGAAAATCCAAGAAGTTGTGGCTGTCACAAGAAAAGTATGTTGAACGAGTGCTTGAAAGGTTCAACATGAAAGCAGCCAAACCGGTAAGCTCGCCTTTAGCCAATCATATCAAGTTGAGCAAAAATCCGTGTCCAAAAACATATGAAGAAAAGGAGAAAATGGCAGTTGTTCCCTACTCTTTAGCAGTAGGAAGTATCATGTATGCAATGGTGTGCACACGGCCAGATATTGCTCATGCAGTAGGTGTAGTGAGCAGGTTTCTCTCTAATCCAGGGAAAGACCACTGGGAAGCTGTTAAGTGGATTCTCAAATATTTGAAGGGGACTTCTAAGATGTGCTTGTGCTTTGGCGGTTCCAAACCAATCTTGGAAGGATTTACAAATGCTGACATGAGAGGTGACCTGGATGGTAGAAAATCTACGTCTGGGTACTTGTTTACTTTTGCAGGGGGAGCCGTGTCTTGGCAATCCAAGTTGCAAAAGTGTGTTGCTTTGTCCACAACCGAGGATGAATACATAGCCGCTACAGAAGCATGCAAGGAGTTGTTGTGGCTGAAGCGATTCCTCCAAGAGTTGGGTTTGAAGCAAAGTGATTATGGTGTTTATTGTGATTGTCAAAGTACTCTAGATTTGAGCAAGAACACTACATATCATTCACGCACCAAGCACATTGATATTTGTTACCACTGGATTAGAGACGTTATCGAGAACAAGGTGCTACAGCTGAAGAAGATTCATACCGATAATAATTCTTCAGACATGTTGACAAAGGTAGTCACAAAATCAAAGTTGGAATTCTGCATTAAGGCTACTGGGATGGACTCCAGGTAACTTGGAGTCATGATAGGAATTCCTCCCTCATGGACTGGAGGGGGAGATTGTTGGTATATGGTCCAGCCCATGATCAATGTTCTAGATTATTCTAGTAAGTAAGTGAGATGGCTGGAGCATGCTAGACAATTCTAGCATGTTATTAAGTTGATGGAAGAAGCTAGAGAGTACTAGCTTCCTTGGTTGCAAATGGAAAGATCTAGAAGCTACAAATTTGTAGCTAGTCTAGAATTATCTAACTTAGAGGTTGGTAGAATAGTCTAGAAACTAGGAACTAGTTCTAGTTTGTAGACTGAACTAGGAACTAGTTCTAGTTTGTAGAAGGAACTAGAAACTAGTAGAATGTCAAGCCCTCACCTATAAATATGGGTGCAGTGTTGTAATCAAGAACCAACCAATCAAGAGAAGAGTAAGGAGCAAAGGATCAAGTCCAAAGCTAGAGTTCCACTCCAAGAGTGAGAGTGAGAGTGTGCCACTACACATTGTGAGTGAAGTTTAGAGTGATAGAAAGTGTGTGTCATACTTTCTTGTATCCATCAAGCCTTGTTTTTGGTTTGGTAAGACTACTCTTGTTGTACTCATCTTTCTCATATAGTGAAGATTGATCCTTGTTTCGTGGACGTAGGCATAAATTGCCGAACCACATAAATTCTTTGTGTCCATTTTCTACTTTACCTTGTGCATTCTCTATCTTGTAGTACCGACATTCCTAACACTAACGATGTCCATTAAGTGATTATTGTGAGAAATAAGTTAACATTCAGATGGCGGTTGAGTGCAGGGTAGGCTTTTGAACCAAGAAGATATAGCGGTTAAAAGGCTTTCTAAAGATTCTGCACAAGGAGATATAGAATTTATTTATGAGGTCATGTTAGTAGTCAAACTTCAACACCGCAATTTAGTTAGGCTCCTTGGTTTCTACTTGGAAGGAAATGAAAGGCTTCTTATCTATGAGTTTGTTCCTAATTCAAGCCTTGACCATTTCAGATTTGGTAGGGTTGGGAACTTGGATTTCTGATTTTATTTTGGAATGTATTTTAAATTCATCTATGTACATGCTTTCCAAAAAGAGTACAGTGCAACAAACGTCATTAACAATCATTACAAAATAGTCTATTTGCTTGAATATGCAGATCCAACCAGGCGCACACATTTGGACTGGGATAGTCGCTACAAGATCATATTTGGAATTGGGAGAGTACTCCTTTACCTTCATGAAGATTCTCGTCTTCGAATAATTCATCGTGATTTGAAAGCAAGTAACATTTTGTTAGACGTAGAAATGCAACCCAAGATTACAGATTTTGGCATGGCAAGACTGTTTGATCTTGATCGAACACAAGGTGATACCAGTCGAGTTGTAGGGACGTTGTAAGTACTAGCACATCTGTATGGCCTATAATCTCAAATTTCATGTCATCTAACAATACAAGTAAATTAAGAACACACAAAAAGATAGTTTGGCATAACCATTACAAGTTTCAAATATAATAACAAAAGCTAACCTTGCTTTCGTTGATATGCAGTGGTTACATGGCTCATAAGTATGTAATGCGTGGACACTTTTCTGTTAAGTCTGATGTGTATAGCTTCGGTGTGTTAATTTTGGAGATAATTAATGGACAGAAAAATAGTTCTTTCCGTCATAGTGGGAACGTGAAGGACCTTCTAAGCTATGTAAGTAACACAAAGTTAGGCTATGTACATATCCCTGCAATTTATTAAGATTAAACTAATGAAAGAAAGGTCCTATCTGACTTTGTTAATAGGAGATTCAACGATAATCTCACAAATCTTGACGAGATTCAATGAAATCTCAATACAGGTCGTCGGAGACGACGAGAATTCACCGTTTGGGACGATTTCCAACCGTTGGGATGATGGGTTCACTAGAAAACTTTGAACGATGGCGCAGGATCATCTGCAGGCGAGCCCACGTTTGTGTAGAGGACGACGCAAAAACGACGTCGTTTTAGACTTTGGGGTTTTGGTACAAGGAGTAGCGCATCTTGGCGGCTGCCTCACGCGGCTTGGTGGCTGCAAAACACGGCTGACACGCGTTAGGGTTTGAAAAAGATCCCTCTTTTTTTCTTTATCTGTCTTCTCTTATCCACACATATTCATTCAGAACAATATAACAACAATAATAATATAATTGCGAACAATAATTTAAGCAGAATCTATAATTCGAAATACGTATATTAAAGTTCATACATCATGATGAATGTTTAATGCAATCAAGGCTAAAAAATATCAAAACCGAAACTGTGTTTTAGAAGTTTCTTGGTTTCGTGATGGATATGGTTAACGGGTTTGTAACCCTTAAGATCCTTACCTCAACGTCGAGAGTGTGTTTGACAATGTGTTGTAGGTTGATTTAATTGAAGGTACAAAGAGAAGGCAATGACAAAGAGAGGAGAGAGATTGAACGACAAAGAGAGAAGAGAGGAAGAGTTTGGGGCAATTTCTTTAATGATGATTCTTATCACTTGTGCCATTATTTATAGTAAACACTAGAAACTACGCCAGCGCGTTACTGGGGGGCCATCTGTTTCAGGCGTAATGAGATAAATGAAACACATTTAAGTTGAATAAATTCAACACAATTATGAACAAACAGACGGATACATGAGTGCATGAATAAGGTCGATAAGATAAGCAGTTTATGCTACCTTGTGCCAAAGAGTTTATGTTAGTATGCCCTCTTATGTTTAAGGAGCAATTGAAAGAAAATAGTTCATGAACGTCGTGCTTCTGTTGGCAAAGTTAGACTCATATCAGGATCACTATAGGTTCTAGGAAAGGATTGCTAAAAGAATGCATGCATAACTTCTCCTACAATTACCTAAATGAATGCATGCATAACTTCTCCTACAACAAATTTGTTCACCTGAGTCACAATCCCCTTGCAAGGATTGTAAAACTCAAAGCTTACTGTCCAAAACCAAATAATTTGTATCATTTACATGCTTGTGCAACATATGCCTTACACTAGAAAAACATCAAAAATCGAATACAAATTTGTAAATCATGGACGGATTTTGTTTTACATTTTTATAATCAAATCAAGTGGCAGTGTAGCACGTAAAATTACAAACATGAAGCAACCAGAGAGAGCAGAAATTAAGATGTAGAGATATCCTCAAACTTACAACATACTGTATGGAAGCTAACCGTAGAGGTTTGTGAAGCAAACTGCGGCATGAGTTGCAGTCGATTGAACAAAAACATAGTAGTTTAACTAAAAAATGCATGATGAAATGGATTCATAGTTTTCATGCATGAGACAAGTCTATATTATTCAATAAGTCAACTTAATATCATTCCACAAAGTGAAATTTATAATGCTTACTTGTCGCAGAAAGGGCAATGCCACAATGAAGGCATATGGCGAATCTTAGTAACCTGTAGCGTTCATTGCACTTCGCGGCTGATATGTTTTTGCCTATCTGATGGCATCTGCTAACACAACAAAGGCCACAAAAGGTATGCCAAGTCTACCTTGATTCTTATATCATGCGATAAATAGAACAGATAGATGATGGTTTCCATATTAATAGCATACTAAGAAATCTACGGGACACAACACAGTAGCTTACTAATTCAAAAGATTAAATGAACTATAAATGGACCAATGGTTAATCGAACAAATTCAATACAACTGAATCACATTCTAATTTTAAGCTAAGCACTCTATTGCCAAGAAAAGTGCCCATATTGCTGTGAATGTAAAAATAATGAGTTAGCACTATTCACTGCTCATTTTGCTAAACGAAACGCCTAGAATCTATTCATTTCAAGTAAGTAAAAATCCAAAACAGGGAGATTGAGATATCAGACGTTGAAAAGTGATTAAATTGCCATCTTAACAATCAATTCAACCTATATACACCTACAAGTATCAAATTCGATCTTGAATAAAAATAAAGCTACTGATGAGATAATTGATTCCTGGTGTGAGTCATCACTTCTACTTTTTATGGCAATGATTACTTAAAGTTCTCATGCATACTAGCTCTCAATAGACTCAACGACACATGGAGGTAAGGACCAATCCAGAAATCTTGAGAAAAGGGGACCCTTGAACCCTCAAAACCCACATACATCTTTTGGCAAATTTTGTTTGCTATATATGGATATGCATGCTATAAGAAACATCCATTTGTAGATCATAATGTGTCATCAATATCATAGTTTCAAGTAATCAGTCTACTACATGGAGGAAAAACACAGAAAAGGGAAGTAGAAAAGTAGAAGACATAATACTTAGGCATTTGGCAGCAATAGTAAGTTTCTGAAAAAATTGCTAAACCATCTAACAAATTCAATCGTTAAACATTATACTGTAAGACTTTTTTTTTGTATCTGTTGCTTTCTAAATTACTATAATTATGAACAAGATTAGTTAATTTATAATTTGCTGCTTAGCTTAACACAATCCTTGAATAAAATTTGGGTCTTAGTTAAAGTTAGGTCATATTTTTAAGAATGGTAAAAACTAAGGAAATTTATTGGATGATGTAATTTGGTGGATTTGTAAAGTATGCTTTTCAATGTGGATTAATTGTTTAAATAATTTTAGATTCTGATTTTGTGTTTTCCAACTATTTTTCTATAATTACCTTTTGTTTATATTATAGAACAGGGGTGTAATTCTTATTTTGATAATTTTTTCTCCTTTCTCTCTTTTAATACTTTGCATGTGTATTCACTTGGGTAAAATACTTAAGTCGAAATGATATTAATGCTGCAAGATAAATTTTTTTTTGGAGCCATAAAATCTACAACAGATATCCAAGTATACAACGAGGTTGCTGGCCTTTCAGCGCTTGACTTTGGTTACACAGATAACACTGCATATACCATACAAAAGTTTTTTTCTTCCCTTTTGCCACTTTTTTGGAATATTAGTTACAAAATTTGTTTAGAGCATAAATGTGAAATTTACAGGACGGGTTAGTAAGTTAATTAGTTAATTTGATTCTCAATGGATATGAGTTATTGCGATTTGCAGTGATAGACTAAAGACTTAAAGAAAACAATGTTTGTTTTGAGTACTTCTCACGTCATTGAGGCATAAATGTTGTTCCTGCATTAATTAATTTTCTTTAAATCGAAATTGAATAAATTTAATTTTCCTTGATATCCAAATGTATTAAAGTAATTTTGATTGTTGTTTATGTATGCTTTCCAAGATTCATTTTTTGGTTACCAGATATCTCGCTCTGTTTACGGTGTGTTTTTTTTAGTTAATTGAAAAAAAAGGCTTTTTATTCTTTGGTTTTCAGGACTTCATTTACCGTTTACAAGTCAACCCTACAATACCAAAGTACAAGAGAAACAAAGATTAGAGGTAATTTTTGCTCTAACTTGGAATAGTTTCTAAGATTTGTACTGTGCAATGGGCCAGTGTTAATTACTAAATTGATTAAAAAACATTCTGTAGGGGCTGCGTCGCCATTCAATTACCTATGGAATTTATAACATGCAATCAGTTTCTGTTTAGTTGAGTTCAAATAATGTTGATTGTGCTGTTATAAAGCTTTTTTTTATAGTTAGGTTGAAAATCTTATCAATATATTCTTTATTTAGTTGGTCCAATCTGTAACAGATGAGATTGTTTTGTTTGATGTTTCAATCAAAATTTGATCTTTTTTTTTTAAATTTTATTTTGGTCTGAAATTATAATGGAATTGCAAGTCAAGTATATCTTAGATTCTTGGTTGCATACTCACCTTCTCACAACTATTATATTGTCTCTTGACTGGATGAATTTTTATAATTTCTGGGATCTATGGTTACAATGCTTTTTATAATTTTCTAGATCTATCATTTTTGTTCATTCATGATTATGTTGAACATTTTTCAGGTTAAATGTTTCTTATTCATATAATTAAGGCTGGTGCTTTCATGTCCCGCGGCATTGTGCGGGCATATTACTAGTAAACACAATTTCAAATTGATGGGGTACACAATCAGTAATCACAAAGAATCGCATATGAATTACGGAACCAGATCATTCTGCAACAGAAAGATCAATGATCAGGCAATTAAACACAACCCACCAACACAAATCAACCAAATTGCAACTATCAAATCTTCAATTTCACATGCCCCAAAATTGAAAATCAACATTTCTATTCAAATAGATCTCGAAAATCCAAACAAATTACGCAATCAACCTGCTGAATTCGCATACAGTTTATTTCAATTTTGATTGTACGTACCTTGATTGTGATGTCGGCCTGTTAGCACTCCACACGTTTGTGAGCATGGATGTGAATTGACTTGCTGCCACATGAGTTTCTTTAATTTTTAAGGATTTTTCTTAAATTTTAATCAGAAAATAGAAATTCATTTAATTAAAATGTCAGAAAAATTTACTAAAACCTTGTTGTCACGTTGATGATAAATGAAAGTTTCTGTCTTATTGAGACTTGTAAAAATCCATATTCCTTGTGGGAACTAGCAGTGTGCTATATTATGTGAATCTTTGTGCTGTTTGTTCTTTATATCTGCATATTTGAAGTTATTCTTCACTAATTCGCAAAAGGGGCGAGACTGCGTTTTAATCCGAGTGCACCTGCAATTTCAACTCGCAAGAACTTGGATTGGAAGGTTTCAACCGCGGCGACGAAACCTCAAATGTCCCCAATACTTCATGTTGTCTTAGTCAGAAGTCACACCAGACCCATTCCAGTCAAATTTCAAATAATTAAAATAGTCAGAAACTCATGAGAATGGTTCCTCCCATTGGCTTTTAATAAGCCTGCAGTTGACGATCACATTATTCATTTTACTTTTGCCATGGTTTCCTCAAGATTAATCAGATTATTGTTCCTTTGTACACAAATTTTGTTACTCATCATCAACGTTAATTTCACTGAAGCCCAGCTTGAACCCCCTGGACTTTCAGCATTCCAGTGTTCTAACGGCAAAGGTAACTACACCACTGGCAGCACCTATCAAACAAACCTCAAAAGCCTCCTCTCCACCTTATTCGATGCCAACAACAACAACGGCTACGGCTTTTACAATTCCTCCCTTGGCGTAAACAACGACAGAGTTTATGCAATCGGGCTCTGTCGAGGAGATATTCCAAAGGAAGCTTGCGGTAGCTGCCTTACTGACACTGCAAAAGGTCTCATGAATAATTGTACCAACCAGAAGGAGGCAATTGAATGGTTAGACAATTGTATGTTACGCTACTCAAACCGCTCCATATATGGCAGAAAGGAAATTAGTCCGGCTTACTACGCTTGGAATCCATCAAATGTATCCACGGGCTTGGATGCGTTCAATCAAGAGGTCTCTACCTTACTTAATGGACTACGACAAAAAGCAGCAACGGGTGGTGATCTTCGTAAATTTGCAACAGCAAACACAAGCATTCCAAGTTCTAATCTAAAAATATATGGACTTGTTCAGTGCACCCCAGAATTATCCGAGCAAAGTTGTATTGATTGCTTAAATTATGCTTTCAGAGTGTTTGAATCATGTTGTAGTGCATCAATTGGTATGAGAATTATGACACCAAGCTGTGGCGTAAGGTACGAAAATTACACCTTTTTTGACGTTACAACCGAGACACCATTACCTACACCACCGGCCGATACTGCGATTCCGGGAGGTATGACATATATTAAGTCCCATTACTCTTTGAAAAAAAAAATGTGGTTTAATTATTTGAGATCAAATTAGACATCTTGGAATCATTTTTCTATCCAGCGTATTCTAAGCAATATGTCTGATTACTTCTTTCGGATTGCAACACCAGCTAGAAACAAATTAATTTGTAATTTGGTTCTCAAAGTTTAATAAATTATCATTCGTTATCGAAGAGATTTAGCCAGTTGAAAATTCAGGCCCATATATAGTCCGATATGATCAGAGAAGCTATATTTATGATTTTTGCAGGAAAGAAGAGTAATACCTCTCGGACTGTCATCATTACGGTTGTCACAGTTGTTTCCGTGGTACTAATTATATCGATCTGCATTTATCTGAGAGTGAAGAAGATGAAGGGAAAACTTGGAGGTAAGTTTAGATCAGTTAATTTTTACTTCCCTTGAAACAGAATGACCTCATGGAACACCTGCAATTATATAAGCATTTAGACTCACAAATTAACATACATGTATCCTTTAATTAAATATGCATGCAATGGCCTTATTTAGTTTTTGGTTTCATATTGCTTCTCTCTCCTGCAAAGAAGCAGATGAAATTCTTAATACAGAAGCCTTGCAGTTCGACCTTGCCTCCATAAGAACGGCTACAAATAACTTTTCTGAAGCCAACAAGCTTGGACGAGGTGGATTTGGTACTGTTTACAGGGTAATGAATCGTATCACTAAAGATGTCAGTTAAATTATTATTGTGAGAAATAAGTTACATTCAGGTGGTGGTTGAATGCAGGGTAGGCTTTTGAACCAAGAAGATATAGCGGTTAAAAGGCTTTCTAGAGATTCTGCACAAGGAGATATAGAATTTAAAAATGAGGTCACATTAGTAGCCAAACTTCAACACCGCAATTTAGTAAGGCTTCTTGGTTTCTGCTTGGAAGGAAACGAAAGGGTTCTTATCTATGAGTTTGTCCCTAATGCAAGCCTCGATCATTTCATATTTGGTAGGGTTAAGAACTTGGATTTCTGGTTTTATTTTGGAATGTATTGAAAATTCTTCTATGTAGAGTACAGTGCAACAAACGTCAATAACAGCCATTACAAAATAGTCTTCTTACTTGAATGTGCAGATCCAATCAAGCGCGAACATTTGGACTGGGATAGTCGCTACAAGATCATATTAGGAATTGGGCGAGGACTCCTTTACCTTCATGAAGATTCTCGTCTTAGAATAATTCATCGTGATATGAAAGCAAGTAACATTTTGTTAGATGCAGAAATGCTACCCAAAATTGCAGATTTTGGCATGGCAAGACTGTTTGATCTTGATCAAACACAAGGTGATACCAGTCGAGTTGTAGGGACTTAGTAAGTACTAGCAGATCTTGTATGGCTTACAATATTAAAGTTCATGTCATTTAACAATGCAAGTAAATTAAGAACACAAAACAAGATAATTTTGGCACAATCATTACAAGTTTCAAATATAATAACCCAGGCTAACCTTGCTTTTGTTGATATGCAGTGGTTACATGGCACCTGAGTATGTAATGCGCGGACACTTTTCTGTTAAGTCGGACGTGTATAGCTTCGGTGTGTTAGTTTTGGAGATAATTACTGGACAGAAAAATAGTTCTTTCCGTCACGGTGGGAACGTGGAGGACCTTCTAAGCTATGTAAGTTACACAAAAGGCTGGGCTATACATTATCCCTGCAATTTATTAAGATTAAACTAACGAAAGAAAGGTCCTATCTGACTTTGTAATCTCTAACTGTTTACAAACTTATGCAGGCATGGAAAAGTTGGAAGGAGGACACAGCTTCAAATTTAATAGATCCCTTGTTGAAGAGTGGTTCAATACCAGAAATAATGAGATGCGTCCACATAGGATTATTATGTGTGCAACAAAATATAGCTGATAGGCCAACCATGGCTGCAGTTATTCTCATGCTTACTACCAACTCTCTTGATCTTCCAGTACCCTCACAACCAGCATTTTTTATGGATGGTGGCATTGAATCCTCCTCTGACACGTCTTTGGGATGGAAGGATAATTCTGGTGTGACAAGGTTAGGTCTATCTAAAAGTAGCTCTGTAAAATACCTGCTGCATGGATAGCTTCGATTTCAAGTCACAACCTCACTAGTTGACCGATGATGCAATGAGATGTTTGTTGTTTTGTAACAGTTTTGGTCCGTTCTTTTTTATGTGATTCATTGTTTAGGTATACAGGTTCTGATTAATCTCAAGTTATTGGGAACAATTGGCCTTTCTTTTTTATTTTCTTTTTTCTGTTATTCTAGCGTTAGTCGACGTTGAATTAAAGCTTATTGTTAACTATGCCTGTTGAAATTCAATTTTGATCTTACTTTGTGACTGTTACTCAAAAGTCATAACTCTATTGGATTAAATTCAAAATTCGTTCCACTTTAACTTGTGGACTCTCTATTATCACTGAAACTCAAAAGTTGCCCAATAAATCATATGCAGGATCGACCACAATAAAACTATGTTACATTGCCAATGAATTTGACTATACATTTAGTGGCGATGCCACAATAGGACGAGGAGGGGTGGCCACCCCTTCGTCGTCGGACATACCATGAAGGGCAAAGAATCTGCCCCTCTTAACTTGCACAGAAGGTGTTTGACGAAATGCTTTTTGCCAATACTTCCACATATCCACTTAATATCGATAAAATCGGTGATTTATTGGATAATTAGGCAATTCATCAGCCAAATTCGAGTGAGATTGTCCACAAATTTGAAACAAATTCACTGAAAATGAAGGGACTGCTGTAGAGGCTCGCGACTCTTGAGGAAGAAACTGACTTGGTGTTATTGCCTAACCCACAGGTAGTACTTGTGTTTAATTTTAAATAAATAAATTTAATATGATTTCTGATTGCACAATGTACGATGAACGGACACGATTAACGGATCTTCGGGATCCTCGCAAAGTGGATCCGATGATGATCTAGATTCATTGCCTAAGAGTATCTCCAAAGGAGATGTCAAATTTTAAACATAAAATTTAAATTTAACAACCTATGTGACATTTTGACATTTTTTAAGTTTTATTCTCTATCCATCAAACTAATAAAAGGCATTTAATAATTACTAAATCCGGACCGGTCACCTTTTTTTTTTTTTTTCAACAAAAGGAAATCGTTCAATTGAACAAAAGGTAACCTGTCAACAACAACATTATCTATACTAAAGTAGGGGGGAGGGCAGGCACTATTCACGTTTGTTTTGATTTTGCTTTATTTACAACAATACCAGCCTGATGGGGAGTGGGTTGGGAGGGTAATTCTCAAAATTTCAGAGGGTAATTTTGTCCATGTGGCTTATCAGGGAGCCACTCGATTTCACGCTATTTACAACAAGCCCGTCAGGTTTGGTCTGATATTGGGGCTGGTTGGAAGGGCACTTTTGTCCTATTTGTTTGAGACGGATTGGGTGGGTTTACTTTGCTGTCATTCAGGGAGGGTTTCGGGGATGGGAGGCCATGCCTCCGATAGAGAGGGAGAGAGAGAAACAGAGCGAGAGAGAGAGAGGGAGAGGGATCCTGGCATGGGTGAGTGGAATGGAGACAGTGAGAGAAAGAGGGAGGGAGGGGTTGGATGGTGAACAGAGCCGAGTAAGGTCCCCTCAGTTCATGAATCACTCTGGATCGTTCGTTCCCTTTTGCATGTCGGATCAATGGCTGGATTTCGAAAGCTAAGTTCCATTTTTTATTCCATTATTTGCTGTTAGCATAGATGTGAACTGTTGGGTTAGGTTTTGGGGGTTCCTTTGTTTCGTTTTCTCTCATTTTCTTTCATTTTGGGGATGCATCTCTCTGTTCTGTGCATTGCGTTCTGTTTTAAGGTCAGTTTTCTTCTTCTTTTTTGTGGCTTTTTTTTGGGGGGTTTTCAGTTTGTTCATCTTTCACTCTGTATTTAGATTTTTCGTTCGTGAATGACTGAATGGATATTGGGTTTTGGTGGTTGAAAATATGTTTTTTTTTTCTGCTTAAGCTTCTTGCTCATTTTCCTGGGATTTTTGGTTTTCGGTTGCAAGGTTAAAGAGAACACTCAAATCTCAGGTTAAATGGGTATTGGGTTTTGGTGGTTTAAAATATGATTTTTTTTCTGCTTAAGCTTCTTGCTCATTTTTCTGGGATTTGTGGTTTTTGGTTGCAAGGGTAAAGAGAATGCTAAAATCTTAGAAATTGGTATTGGCTATTGTATTAATGCATTTGCATTTTCGTTGGTTTGCAGTGTAGGTGCATTGAGACCTAAAAATATTTGCGAGAACTTCATAAATTTTTCTGAGGCTCCGATCCTTGAAGGGTATGTGTTTTTGAGCTAAGTTTTTTTTTTTTTTTCGCTTCTCTATTGTTAGCATGTATTGTTGTCATTTATGGCCTTTTGTTATGAATTATTTCTGGATATTATATAAACTGCATAAAATTTGGATATGATGAGAAAACTAATTAAACTCAATCTTGGTAATGATTTCGTTTTTGAGAAGCTGTCGAAAAACAAAGTTTGGATAAGAAAAACATCATCCTTACCAGTTAAGTCATTGATAGCATTTTGAGCATCCTGAAAAGGTAAATGAGAGTATGATGAGTTTTGATTTAGTTAGAAATTGACAAACTGTTAAAGGCAGAGGCTGGGCTCTAAACTATTGTTCAGTGTTTATCTGTACTGGTTTGTTGTGTGCTTGAGGAGCTCTATCTTTTATTCTGTCCTGAAATTGGTCTGTCTGTGGAATGGAAAGATAAAAATTTCGTAAATGTTTTGATATTTTTGACATGATTTATACTTGGGATTCATATTTTTCAAAGTTTGTAAAAGTACTTGACCTGTGATGAGTTCCTTTGTATACCTTATTAAATAAGTTACATATTTTTCGTGAATAATTGTGTGTTTGATCTGGTATTAGAACAAGAATGCTGTTTGAAATTTTGTTGGCGTGCTAAGTGAAACCACCACTACTGAGGCTTTGGAGGAATGGTGTTGAAACCTATCAAATTTTCCCGTACTGATTGCTTCGTTTATTTTTTCAAGCTTTATTTGCTTCATTGTTCACCTGTGATGGGTTCATCAATATTGGTAACATAGGATAATTTCATGTTTTTTTTCTTTCGGTTTTACGACATTTTTCCTCACTTCAAAATCTTATAGGTTTCATAAATTTACTTACCTTTGTTGGGATTCTGATCTTTTTACTGAAATTGTTTTGGTCCCTGATACTCAACTCTGATTTCTGCTATTAATTGCTGCTGAAATGTGACTTTTGCTATTAATTTATTTACCCTTCATATTTATGCTGCTTTTTGATTCCATTCGAATTAAATAATGTAGTTAATCTTGATATGAATTCTCTCTGTAACAATAATTAGCGATTTTAATTTAAATTATTACTGATTTGTTCTTGATTTGCCATTGAATCTTTCTTAATTTGGTCTGCAGGTGGTTCTGACGCGGAGGAGAAGCTGTAAGAGGTTATGATCTTGCTGCACTTAAGTGCAGCTGTTCTTCAACTCATATAAACTCTTTGGTAGGGTTCAAACTGTTAAGGGTTTTATTATTTTGTAAAAGCTTTTTAGCAGCAGAAGTTTGGTCTTTTTGTGGTTGCATTATTACACTGTACAACTCGAGTTAGAATGGGTTTCTTGCTAACTGATGTGACTTAGGGATTCTAAAAGTGGTTGCATTTTACAACATACAACTTCAGTTTGTCTCGGTTTCTCAATGAATGTCGTATGAATTCTTAATTTAATTTCAGAAGGTGATGCGTTTAAAGTTTGTGCTATGTGATGAAGTTAGCATTTTGTTTTTTTTATTATATACTGGTGGTCAACATTTTTAGTATATTGGTTGAGAAAGATTTATCATTTTCTCATTTTTGTATTTCTATAAATTTTGAGAGTCTTCGTTCTTCAAAAATCAGAAAGGTCACAATGTAGTAAGGGTGTAACAGTTGCCTAGGATCAAGCAAAAGGAGTAATACATTCAGCATTTACACACTGAAGTAGGCCAAAAGTGAAAACTGACCAGTAAAGATTATGGTAATTCACTGATTTAAACATAAACCAGCTTTGAGAGTGATGCTCACCCATTGTTCGTTTTCCTTGCAAGCATATTTTCTGCCCAAAGTTTCCCAAACTGTTCTCGAACCGCTGTATCAGCATATCTTTCCAACTTCTAATAGTCTCTGGTGCTAGAACATCTTCTAACTTCTAATTTTTTGTCTTTGTGTTGGATTTTGATGTTTATGTTTTGCTGCTAAGTAGACTTTATACTGTTTTAAATCTATTTTGTAAATGTGCTTAAAGATTGGACATGTTATTGAATATTAGCCATGTAGTTTGAATTGGATATGTGATTGAGTATTGGGTATTTAGTTTAAATTGATTTGAAAATGTGGTTTGTTGAATTGGAATTTGGATGTGTGCTAATTTTAATTGCATATGTTTGAATTAGAGATGTGCTGCTTTGAATTGGATAGGTTGAATTGGAGTGTGCTATATTGATATATAATGAACTAATGGATACAAAACACAGACGCACACACACGCACACATTCACCAGTAACCACCTACTTTGGGTTGTACCTGTATGGGTGAATCGCTCTGATACTGTGTATTCACACGGTTAATTCTGTTAGGTGCACGTTACCCTATAGATGTTACAATTTAGGTCTTGAATAATTTTTCTCACCTCCCTTCTAATACCATCAAATCAGGTAGACCTTTCCTTAACAAACCTAGCAATCTCTAAAATCTTCCAAATTTCCATACCTCTTCTATAGGTTTTCAGTGAATCAAGACGTTTTGTTGATATCTTGGTGTTTGTGTTCAACACATAACTGAACAACGAGTTACAAGGAAATGAGATTTTTATGCAAATCATTTGGAGTTTGATCTATTAGTATTAATGTACGAATGGAGAATTATTGTAATTGTTTTTTTTTTATGTTTAACATCTTTTGCTAATCATATTTTTACCTCTTTTCCAATTTTGGGTAGCATTTTTTGCTTTTTAGTTGGCTTTGAAACGAAATTTTTTAAGCTGCCAAACACCATTTCGTTTTGTTTCAAGCTACTAAACCGCATTTGGTTCTGTTTGATTGTTGTCTATTTAGAGTTTTTCCTGTTTTGGTTGGTGGGGTTGAATTTATTTGGGTTTATATTTGATTTAGTTGGTTAATTTTTTTATTGGTTGCAGATGATATATTACTGTGGAACTTTCTATCTTTGTGGTTGTTTCAGTGGTCGTTTTTGCATATCTTGATATGTAATGATAAAAAAGTTAATGACATTGATCATAAAACAATTTTTTGGTTTGGTTTAGAAGAATGCAGTTGGTTCAGTGAGATTTTTATTCATTAACTGCATAACCAAATTTATGAATTGTATATATATTGTCTTGATATCTGAATGTGTAATGGAGATGTAAACACATAGTATGAATGAGAGGGTTGAAATGGAATCAACCCTGTGGTTGGGGACTGAACGAATGTGAAATGTTGCATCTGGTATAAATTGGATAGTTGAGCATCCCGCTGTGGTTCTCTGTTTTTCCAAGAGAGGGTATCTGTTTTGAGTCTGCTATACTTATTGCTTTAATTTTTTATGACCCTTAATAATAGAGATTGAACTACAGTGTTGTATGATGGTGTTTCCAATGTTTTAGATGACATTGATCTATATTAGTTTAAAAAAATATTTAAAGATTTGTTTTCGAGGGAACCATTAGGTATTAATTCATATATGTATTCGGTGAGTTGGTCAGCTTCGATTTCAGCAATAGGAGAAATTTAAGCTGTGATATATAAAGTTGGTTATTTGCTTCTCAAGCCATTGAGCCACAAAAGTTATTCATGCACTTAGTTCTTTATTATAAGATTGAACAAATTTAATTTGCTTTTATATCCGATTGTATTGAACTAATTGTAGATTCCATGACATTACTGTTCCATTATGGCCTTGGTATAGAGCCCTTGGAATTTACTCAACATTTCACCTAGGTCTACAACTTTTGTATTCTTCGCTGAACCAAATTATTGTGTTAGATTCAAAATATTCCTAAATTTTTTTTTGTTTTGTTTTGCTTTTTTTTTTTTGGGCTTTTTGGTTTTTTGGTGTGTCTTTGCTCATTTAGCTAAAATTTCATTAGATTTCATCTTTAAATTTGAAAGTCTTAGGGTTGCTAATGGATTTACTTTTTGCAAATTTCAGAAATTTCGATCGTTGGAGGAAGAAGTTGGTTCCTTGATGTTTTGAGGTATATAATTATGTGCCATCATTTTTTTTTCAAAGCCTGATTAGTTATCTACCTTTTTTTTATTTATATTCGTGAAGCATTCATATTTGGATTTTAAATATATGATTAACTTTTGTTATTTTAGCTTTTATTGGAACTGAGTTTTTTTCTTTTTTATGTGTGTATCTGTTATCTGTTGATTTATGCAAATGTTGAATAACTGAGTATTTATTTGGTGGTTTAAGTTTTAGAGTGGAACTGGGCTTCTTTCTATTTTGTACACGTATCTGTATCTGTCTATTTATGTAAAGCTTGAGAAAACTGAGTGGTCGGTGTATTTGTTCCAAACAACATTCAAAATGGATGATTGGTTTATTTGTTCTAAACCCTATTAGATTTGTATTTGCTTGGATGGGCTGTTAGTATAGGGATGGTTAGATTACGAATTTTGTTTTGGCATTTTGTGATTCGGATCTAATTACAGGTTTTGTGTTCATGTCTCCATGTTTCGGTTTTTGTCCTCTTTGTGTGGTTAGTTTGGGATCTAATTGTCCAATGGTTGGATGGTTTGTTTGTTTTTTTTTCTTTGAACTTTGTTTGTGTGATCCTGTTAGAGTTGAAGGTCCCTTGCTAACTCTCTTATTCTGGTTTAGGCCAGCGTTGTAGCTTTTTTTTATCGAATGTTGTTAGCCATTTTATCTCTGTGATTTTGTTATTGGTTGGTTGGTGTTTTAATTAGGTTTTTCCGATAGTTAACTATCTCATCGTTCCCGAATTGTTTTAACATATGCTGTTCATAACTGCACTTTCTCAACAAATCAGAATTTTTAAAAAAAAAAAAAAAAACCAGCGTTTTAGAAAATGAGTTGCCTTTTAACAACTCATGAATACATCTTAGATGTTCAGAAAAATTCGTGAGCATTTACATTCAAAGCGCATTAACTCATGAATAATTAGGTTTTGTAGCTTCTTTATCAGCTATCACTTCAAAATTTGATTTACAACACTGTCAAAATACTTTTTGGTTGTGTTTTCTTTAATAATTATCTAACTTTTGGGAGCTCTTATGCATTTACTTTATTAATTTGAGTTTTAAAGATTTATCACAGTGTCATTCTTAAATCTGGAAAGTTAAATATATTTTGAAAAACCATCAATATTAATGTTGTATTTAATTTCTGATTCAGGGTAAATAAAATGATGAATGAGATTGATCGAAGAGAACAACAAATTCTAGGAGGAGTTTTGGTCAAAAATTTAAGGGAACTGGTTAAGGCACGAAACGAAGAAAAAAATCGAGGGACATTAGTGAGATATTTCGATGCTCCCCCGGGATCTGGTACAAGAGAGCAGTGAAAATAGAAAAAACAAGGATGGGTTTGCGTGTTTATGGTAAAGGTCCGAATCGGAACAAGTTGGTGGTCCATACTATGTATCGACCTGCAAATCGTACTAATCCGCCGAAAGAAAAAGTTCCGATGAATGATAATGTTTTGCAACGATTTTTGGGGTTTTTTCGTGGAATGTTCAAGTTTGATCGTTCGAAAAAGGTTGGAGTTTTGTTGTTCTTGCTTGCCTCTGCTGCAACAACCTTTTGGGTTCTAAATGTCTTGAGACGACGTGGGTCATGGATAAGATAAGGGTAGTGTAAATTTTTTTTGTTTGGTGATAAGGGCAATAATGTAAACAATTAACCCTTTAACCATTGTAAGCATAAAATGTTGTTGATACTCTTTTTTGAACTTTTTGGTACACTTTTGTATCGCACTTTAATGTTTTTTCGTGACCCTTTTAGCATCTTAACTATGAAGTGTTGTTAATACTCTTTTTTTACACCTTTTTGATACAACTTTGTATCATTTAAGGATATTTTTTTTGCTGTTGATAACCTCATGGTCTTGGTATTATGTTTCTCTGCTTATAGTTTTATGCGGTTGCCTGTTCTCATGAATGAATAATTTCTTTGCTTATTTGGTCTGATGCTGAACAAAGCCAATGTATATGCAAGATTGCTAAAATTCAGCAGATTGGTTTTCCAATTGCAGCTTTGGTCGATTTTTGTAAAGATTCTATTCTCTTTTGTAACTCAAAAAATTTTGGTTGGTTAAATTCTATTTGTATGGATGATTATGTTGTGCAAGTTATTTGTTTTGAGCAATGACTGGACTCTAAAAAATTGTGGTGGTTAATGTGGTTTTTAGGTTGGTTTTTTTGGTCGGGAAAGACGAGGTGTGCATGAGTTTTTACATTCTTATTTTCGATTGATATATCACTACTAGAATATGGAAGACATTCATATCGTGCAACAAATCCAAGAATTTAAAATAAAAGGGCTAAGTGCGGTTTGTAGAGGGTGGGTTCAAGAATGGGTGAAGTTTGGGTACATGGTGGGATGAATACTAATGGTTTCTTGATTGTATCCATGCCTTTGGAAAACCGTAACGATTGTCTCCTCGCTGTTTCTGTGCGGGAAGCACAATGCCGGAAAACAAAGGTTAGGAAACTAACTACGGAAGCAAAGAAAGAGTGAGGCATGATTACAACGGCAACATTGTGCCCTGCAAGAATTGCCGGTGAGATAGAGATGGCTAACAGCCTTCGCACTTGGGATGCACTTTCAAGTGTTGTCAAGGTCCTCATGTGGTGTTATGTCTCTTTAGATTATAAACTCCGAAAACTCTCTCCATGTTTTGTTTGTATTTCCGCCAAGCAGGAGCAATATCTTCTGCTGTCTTATCTCTCCCCCAAGTGGATGTGGATGTTTCTTTTAGCTGCAGTTTTCCCCCAAGATGGTGTGTCATCTTCACTTCCCTTATTTGCCCCTTGGGGAAATGTCATGGATTCTTCACTTTTGCCCTAGATAGATGTAGCATCTTCTGTGGCAGTATTTGTTCACCATGCTGGAGCAGTATCTTCTGCTGCTGCCTTGAGTATCTCCCAAGTAGATGCACCAAGTTCTTTAGCTAGAGTTTTACCCCACGATGATGAAGACCATCGATTGTGTGCCTTTGACTTTTTTTGGCTTTGCTTTAATCCATGAGTTTTTGTGCCGTAATGAATTCTTTCTCATATTGCATATAAAAAACTACTCTGGTGCTTCTATTAAACCAAAACAAAGTTATATGTCACTTATACAATTTGCATGGTAGTTGTTGGTTAGGTTTGCTTAATTCTTTTACTAACAATTTGTTTACACATACTCGGTCCATTTGTCTTCATATAAGTATATAAAAACTGCATCGTGTAACTAATTAGATTTTGTCTACCTATAATTGAGCTTATGGGGCATATCTACTTTTAATGAAAGAAAAAAAATGGCAAGCTAAAAATTTAAAGAGTTTCTAACACATATATACAACGATTATGTTTTACCTTGATCTCACTCTAACTCATTCATCGTGGCAGTATATAATCGTTCCATCAAATTTATGTGTTTTAAAATACTTTTCTTGCAACGCCTCCTTAATGGCATTATTGTTACTAATCATATAACTTTATATGATTACTTTTTGTTTTTGTTGGTTTGGAAAAATAATCTTTTTTTAGTTAAAAAATGAATAATATAATAACCATAGTAAATATTTATTTTTATAATGATGAAAATTGAAATGGAACTTGACAATTCTATGGATGATATGCGATGGATAGATATTATTTTCAGGCTTAGATTCCAGCCTGATGTATGCTATCGCAAGTGATGGAATTGCATCATTCGTTTCTACCTTTTCTTGAATATATGTAATGAACATTTTTTCCAACGTCTATGGGATCAGACATAGCAAATGCAAACTTTCAAGTTCCGACTTTCTGATTGTTGCAATCTTTGATGATTTGTTTAATCCTCTTAGCCTTTTATTGGATGAATGAAAACTGTTTTGCATTGTTGTTATTTTTTTGTCTTATATGCTTCTTTTTCCTAGATCGGGTTTGATTCTACATGATTCGTTTATCTTGGTGCATTTCATTGGTTAACGAAGGGAAAAAATTTCAATGTTTCAAACCCTAATCATCTTGGTTTTAGGCAATACATCTTTTTTTCTACTCGAAAAATGTTTGGTGCATGTCCTACATAATGGATTAGAACTACTTTCTATGTTTGTTGTTGATTAAGTGCGCAAAGCCCAACTCCATTTTTGACTGCTAAAAATGATTTGTTGTTTTAAATAAACGGGTTAGATTGTTAACTGTGCACTTATCGTCTCGCACCGTTTACCGTTTTAGAATGAATAGAGCCTAAATAATTTGTTTCTTTCTTTCAAATTTATGCATGCATGTCCTACAGAACTAATGGCATAGAATTGGAATTGTGACTTGCCCTTTTTTGTTTAATGTTTGTTTGCTTTTCTATTTCCCTCCAATTATATATGTGTTTATATAATGTCTTCCTCTTTGTCCAGGTTCTGTTTTGATCATTGGGGGTCCTACATTGTTCTTCATTAACATTTGTAGCAGCTGGGCTTCCACATCTACAAAGGTTAGATTTTTGGCCCTTTAAAAAACCATCGCCTTTTTTTTTAATCCACTCTTTTCTTGGTTTACACGCTTGATTGTCAATGCATGTCTTTTTTGAATCATGGTAGCGTTGTTGTTTCATCTTTTGCTATTTACCTTTAGCGCACTTTTTTTGTTGTCAGAATTCGTTTTATTTGTTCCTTTTCCGTATTCCACTATGAAACATCTTTCTCTAAGGAAACAGCTGCAGATCAACTTTTTGTATTCTTCCTTTTTTTTTTTTTGGTAAAAGGGCTAGGATTATGTTTTTACTATTATGTTTACAACGTGGTCAGGATTTTGAAAACCTCCTGGTTTAATGGGTTGTGGTTCACTGGTCATTCCATGTGGTTAACATGGTTACTTCATCGTGGCATTGCTTTAATTAGAAAATAAACCACTACCGTGTGGTTTTTTCCGTCTGTGTAGATTTATGTCTGGAAGAATAGGGGTAGCTAGCAATGCCACTGGAACTAAACATGCCGATTTGCCTGCATCTGTTGCAGTCGTTGATCTGAATAGTTTGGTGTTACAAGATGTTCCCACCATTTATAACAATGAATACAGCAATGCTTCAAGCTCTTTGCTATTTTTAAACAGTGGAAGCAACCCTTCCCACACATTTGCATCAAATTTTGAACGAAATTTTCCCTCCAATGATGATTCTGCCTCACCTTTGGAAGCTGGGACAAGTTCTCAACCAATTTCTGTACCTGTTTGTCTTGCTGATCGTGCTACTCTACACTATCTATTAGCCAGAGATACTCAAAGTGTTAATTCTGTTGCAAATTCGCTCATCACTGGACAAGCAGCTTATCAGAAAAAAAGAAAAAGTATGCAATCTTCCAATGTGACTTTCTTTGCATTCTCTCTTGCTGGTTTGAAAATTTAACATTTCTTCTCTTGATCAACTTCTACTTTCATTTTCATTTATCATTTTATTTCTTTGTTTTCTATTAATTGTTTTTTCTATAGGAATTGATCCAGAATATGTTGATTTTGGATTAAGAGATTGCCAATGTCAATACTGCAATGCTCTGTTTTGGCCTGCAGAGCAAACAAAGAAGCATGCTAAGCATACTTCCTCTGTTTCAACCCCGCAATTTACTGCGTGTTGCATGAGCAACAAAGTACACTTTGCACGTGCTAAACCCACTCCTGCTTATTTGGAACATTTGTTAAACCCCATGAATTCTCAAGCCTTTTTGAAGTTTAAAACAAATATTAGATCATATAATTCAATCAATAATGGCATTAACTTCAATGGGGGCCAAAGTTGATCCGTCTATCAACAAGCGTCGGGGTCCATATGTTTTTAAGATTAACGGTCAGGTACATCATTTGATGGGTTCTCTGTTGCCTCCAGAAGGCAGCGATCCTAAGTAAGTTTGCACAACTGTATATTTATGACACTCAAAATGAAGTCAATAATCGTATCAATTGTTTCAATGGATCAGAACCGTCTGAAAAACTTGATCAACAGATTGTTGGTGACCTCATCAAAATGCTGGATGAGTGTAATGAAGTTGTTAAGCTTTTTAGGCTCGCCAGGGATAGGATTAATGAAGGGTCCATAAGTAATTTAAGGCTGCGTTTATATGGTGCACAGAGCAATCGTGATGTGCAGTACAATTTGCCGACATGTGACATGTGGGATTGGTGGGTTGATAGTTGGGGATATCGGCCAATTTCACACCGAAAGAGATATTGTTGTGGAGCATAAGACTGATGGCCTGCAGAGAATCACAAAGTTACATCCTAAGTACATGGCACTTCAATATCCTCTTCTTCTCCCATACGGTGAAGATGGTTATAGGAAAGGTCTCCCTTGGAATCCCAATTTTAGGGGGAGAAAACCAAAGGATGGCAGCAGCGGGGTATCCATGAGAGCATTTTTTGGTTATCAAATTCAGGATAGACCAGGCCATACTGACACCCTGTTAAAAGGTGGGAGATTGTTTCAACAATACTTGGTTGATGCATATGCGACACTTGAAGAAGACAGGTTAGATTTCATTAGAGCAAATCAAGATTCTTTGAGAACAGAATGTCTTAAAGGAATTCATGAAGCACTTAAAGCAGGAAATGCAGCTGGTTCTGCTGTTGGCAAGAGGGTTATTCTGCCAACTTCGTTTACAGGTAGTGCTAGATATATGATAAATAATTATCAGGATGCCATGGCTATATGTCGTCAGTTTGGAAATCCTGATTTATTTATCACTTTTACCTGTAATGCTAAATGGCCTGAAATTATTGAAGATCTGCGTGATAAACCTGGTTGTAAAGCTGAAGATAGACCAGATCTAATTTCTAGAATTTTTAAGGCAAAACTTGACCATATGATTAAATACCTCAAATCAGGAAAACCTTTTGGCGACGTCGAATCTGGTCAGTATATTTTTCTTGGCCAAAATTTTCCCTTTATTTCTTTTTGTCTTTTTGATACAAATCTAAAAAGTCTATAATTTTGATGTATCTACATTCTATTTTGATTAACAGTCCTTTACACAGTGGAGTTCCAGAAAAGAGGTCTTCCTCATTGTCATATCTTACTTTGGGTCAAAAAGCATTATAAGTGTCATTCTCCTTATGATGTTGATTCTATAATTTCGGCTGAGATTCCTGATCAAAGATGTGACAAGGCTGGGTATGATGCAGTTTCACAATACATGATACACGGTCCATGTGGTGCTGCAAATAAATTTTCACCTTGCATGAAAGAAAACAAGTGTTCAAAAAAATTTCCTAAATCTTTCACAAGTGAAACCACTTTTTCTGACGAGGGTTTTGTTAAGTATAAGCGTCGAGATATAGAAAATCTTTTTGTTCAAAAAAATGGAATCAAGCTTGATAATGCATTTGTCGTCCCTTACAACCGTGAGCTATTATTGAAGTATCAAGCACATATAAATGTTGAATCATGTTGTCAATCGATGCTTATTAAATATCTTTTTAAGTACATAACTAAAGGTGCTGATCGAGCTAGAGCTGTTTTCGAGGATGAAGAGTTTGATGAGATTGTGGCTTATCTAAACTGTAGATACTTATGCCCTTACGAAGCAGTTTGGAGATTGTTACAGTTTCACATTCATTTTAGAGAACCATCGGTTCAGAGATTGTCTGTGCACCTTCCATCTGACCAAAATGTGGTTTTCAAAGAGACTGATGATCTCAACCATGTTGTTAACAACCCTAATCTTGAAAGCACAATGTTAACACAATGGTTTCAAACCAATGTTGAAGACCCTGATGCACGTGAGTTATCTTACGTTGAATTTCCTACAAAGTATGTATGGAAAAAATGATGAGAAACAGTGGTCCCGTAGTAGAAAAAAAGGCAGATCTTTAGGTAGGGTTGCATATGTTCACCCTGCTGCCGGTGAATTATATTACCTGAGATTGTTGCTAAATTACCAAAAAGGCAGCTTTGGATTTGACCATCTGAGGACCGTCAATGCTGTTCTTCAACCCACATTTCAAGCTGCATGCACCTCTCTTGGTTTATTAGGTGATGATAGGGAATGGAATAACGCTATGTTAGAAGCTGTTCTCACTGCATCATCCTCTCAACTTAGGCAATTGTTTGTCACATTGGTTCTCTTTTGTGATGTTGCTGATCCATCAGCTTTGTTTGAAACGCATTGGAAGACGATGTGTGATGACATTGTGAAAAATATGATGAATGCTTTTGGCTTGCAAAATGTTTCTAAATACCAAGATGAAGTTAGAAATTTACTTTTGTACGAGTTAGAAAAACTGTTTGTTGCTGCAAATAGTTCTTTGTTGAAGCATCACTTACCGCAACCAAGCAATTTGATGATGGATAGGCTTGCAAATCGCAGTTTGAGAGAAGAGTTAGATTATGATGTGGACAAGATGAAACATGAGCACTCGCTCTTAATCAGCCAGTTAAATACAGAGCAACAATATGTTTATAACAGTGTCATGGAAACAATTGACAACAATAGATCCGGCCTATTTTTTTTGTGCATGGTCATGGTGGCACAGGTAAAACTTTTTTGTGGACAACCATCATTGCTAAAATAAGATCCCAAAATCAGATTGTTTTGGCGGTGGCTTCATCTGGAATTGCCTCCCTCTTGCTACCTGGTGGAAGAACGGCTCACTCTAGATTTAAAATTCCCATCAACATCACAGATTGTTCAGTTTGTGAAATAAAAAAAGGGACTCATCTTGCAAAACTAATCATTGAAGCTGTTCTTATTCTTTGGGACGAAGCCCCCATGAATCATAAACAATGTTTTGAAACTCTTGATAGATCTCTTCGTGATGTTCTTAAAGGGTCAAGACCAGGTTTCGACCATTTGCCATTTGGGGGTAAGCCGATTCTTTTTGGAGGTGATTTCAGGCAAATTCTTCCTGTTGTCCCAAACGGAAGCGTCGCTGACATTGTTGAAGCTTCATTGACAAGTTCATATCTTTGGCCCTATTTAACTATATTCTTTTTGAAGCAAAAAAATATGAGACTTTCAAAGACAGGTTTGGACGAAATGGGAAAAACAAGAACTTGCTCATTTTGCAAAGTGGATATTAGACATTGGCAATGGTACTGTTGTCGAATCTTTATCTTCAACTGATGAAGAAAGCTGTTGGGTTCAGATACCCGAACAATTCCTTATTCGTTTTGATGAAGATCCCATCAAAGCCATGGTTTCAGCTGTGTATACGGATTTCATGACAAATTTTCAAGATGTCCCGTATTTGAAAGAGAGAGCTATTGTGACACCACGTAATGATACAGCTGCTGGAATAAATGATTTTCTGTTGGGTATGGTACCCGGTGAAAGTCGTACCTATCTCAGTTTTGATTCAGTGTCTTCTTCTTCAACAGAAAATTTAGAGAATTTAGACGTGCTTTATCCAACAGAATTTTCTAAACCAACTTGATTTACCTGGTTTGCCGCATCACAAGTTGGTTTTGAAAGTTGGCACCCCAGTGATGTTGATCAGGAATTTAAACCAAAGTGTTGGGTTGTGTAACGGAACACGATTGGTTGTGATCCAATTAAACGACAGAATTATACAAGCAAAAATCATTACAGGAAGCAACATTGGTGAAAAAGTTTTTATCCCCAGGATAATTACTGAATCATCTCAGCACAAATTTCCCTTTATCTTGCGAAGGCGACAGTTCCCTCTAAAAATTTGTTATGCGATGACAATCAACAAAAGTCAAGGACAATCCTTGAAAATTGTCGGTTTGTATCTATCCCAACCTGTTTTTTCTCATGGGCAACTATATGTTGCGGTGTCTAGAGTCACCTCAAAAAAAGGTCTCAAAATTGTTATCACTCATGATTCCGACATGCCTTACGGCTATATACAAAAAACATAGTTTATAAAGATGTTTTGAAACATTTGCATGAAGGTATAACTTTGCATTATTATTTTGTCCTTTTATTTATTTTTCTAAACATGACTCTGCCGTTACTTTGATAAATCAGCTTAGTAAGTTTTCAATTTAATTTAATTTGGTTCTCAATTTTTATTCTATTTAGATTGATGGAGATGATGCCGCTTCATTTTCCAAGACCATACTAGCCAGCAAACAAGCTCCAAATCAGGGTTTGCAGGTTGGTGATCAAAATGTGATTGTAATCAATATTTATATATAGATAAATAACTGAAAGTTTTAGTTTCAGAGATGAAATAGGTATGAGTGCTTATTGAAATCTGTTCTATTGTGGTTTTTTTTGCAGGAAAAGCAAGAAATTACAATTGAAAAAGCCAAGTGTAATAAGCAGAAATGTATCACCATTGTGAAAGCACTGCAGCTTTTTGGTGAGCTATCTGTTGTATTATATCCTTTGTCTTTCTATTTGCAAACTTTTATTTAAATCCTAGCATAATAGGTAACTGCAATTTATTTTTGGATTTGGTTCTTCACTGATGGGATGTTGTGGGGGCGTGATTTGCGGGAGATAGGGGAGGGGATTGGGTGCAGAGAGAGGTAAGGGCAGGTGCACGATTAGGGGGACAGAAAGAGAGTTGATTGGGTCCACCATGAACAAAGCTCCTTTGAAGTTCGAAAGCCCGATATGAAATGCAATTTCCATAATCCTGTTCGCGCCTGAAATCTGAAATCCGACAATGTCCTCATCTCTCCTCTCGCGACCTGTAAGTGTTACTCCACTTTGGTTCTCAGTAATATGGAGTTTGTAGCACTTTTGGCTTTTCAATTCTAAAAATTTATTCTTTAAATTCTTTTTGCAGATATTAAGATTGTACGACCTGGAAGTGACGGGCATACCAAATGGATCCATGGATGGATGAAACTATGAAGAAGACTCATGTCAGCCGCCAAGCTACCCGAAAAGTGAGGCTTCAAATTTGAGTTGTCTTTCATATCTGTGTGTGATTTTGATTTCTTTGGTTCTGGATGGGTTTTGATTTCTTTGATTCTGGGTGGATTTTGATTTCTTTGATTTCTGAGTTGGCTAATTTATGTGCTCATTTATTTCTTTATACAGCTTCCAAATCTTGCGTGGATTTTTCAATGAGTTGCACACCTCAATTCGGTTGTTGCGGTTGACAGGATTAAAGCCCAGTTTCAGCAACATTTACTCCCAAATCGACTGTTTAACAGATAGGTATTTTCTTTTGCTTTGTTGTTGACAAAATGAAAGCCTGTTATGTAAATTGATCGTTTTTATCTCGATTTTTTGTATTAATTGGACGACAGTGATCCTGACATGGCAGATCCTCTTCTTCAATGGTAAATGACTGAAAAATATTGTCCCATCACCGCGGAAAATGAGCTGTCCATTGTGACCATAATCCATGGAGGTAATCTCACCGTCAAATATTTTATGAATGACTCTCCCACTGTTAAAATTGAAAACTTGAAATATAGGTGTAAAAGTTCCACCAAACAAATACAATCAATTAAATTGATAATATCCTTGCAACCCTATAACATTATTGGAATAAAAAAAAACAAAAAAAAAAATACCTCCCTCATGTTTCATAAAAAGGATAAGCAAATATGAAAGTAACAATATAAACTTTTTATATGGGGATGTCTAATAAGATGTTCCATTGTGATTGTAATGCAATGCATGCAATAAATGGCGTTTTGTTCATCTTATCAGGAGCAGTAAAATCTTTAGTTATAAAGTATGAATCCGTGTTCATATTAATTTGAGATCCAAGATGTTTTTTAGACTAAAAGAAAGAGTTATAAAGTAAATATGGCTGCAGCACCATTGGACCAGAAGACCACATACTTTAACAATATATGATGAAAACTACTCATTGTTCTCTTATTCATTTTCTAATTCTTCTCTTTAAGATATAATATGAAAATCTTATTTCAAAATTGTGTTTTTTCCCTTCAGAAAAAATTTGGGCTATATAAGAGCTCAGTGCAAAGCTTCCTGTAAGCATGGGACAAAACCAAGGCACAGTTCCACGCAAGGTGGTTCAATCGTTCATTTTCGTCTAATTGGTACTTGCCCTCCAATTATTAGATTTCTTGCAATTTTACTTTTGCAGTGCTCTTATAGTTTGTCATTTTGTTTTGAGATGCTTTTAATTCTTATTACATAGGGGAGCAATAGTTCATGTGTGTGAATTTTTGTTTGGTTGTGTTTGGGGTTCAGAAGTGGATCCATTATGCATGGATAGCTGCTGCTGCTCAGTCAGCTTATCCCATGTATCTCTTATGTTTTCACTTTATTAATGTGCTGAATTATGGTTTCTCTCTAAATTGAAGAACTAAAAATCGCAACCAATCAAAAAAGTAATCAGATTATGAAATGAGTACTTTGCTTTCTCATCATTTGTCTGTTTTGTAATTTTCATTTATTCATCTTCTTTTGACACTCTATTCAATTGTATATTTTTGGTTTTCCCTGCTTCTTTTATTTTATGCTGCATGCATGTTCTTTTGTATGCCTGATGTCTTTCTCTACAAGCTATGCATGAAGATTTGTTGTTGTTCTCAACTAATAGATATAATTTCACGAATTATGTTTTTAAAGTCAGGGAAAAAGACTTCTTCAGCATAACTGGGGGTTGCCGTGGGGTTGCTGGGACCTGTTTTCACTACAAATAGGATGTATCTTTTATATAAAAGAAAAAAATGGTGAGTTCACAAAATTTCATTCTTCATCTTGATTTCTTTGATCATACTTTTTCTTTCATTTTGATTCTTCCGTTAGCTTTGCTAATTGCTACCACTCAATTTGCAATTTAACATCAATTACATGCTAAATGAACTTTAGAGATCAAGTAGGGAGTGGAATGAGAGGAAAAGTCGTCACTTTCTCTCAGCTCTCTCTAGACAAGGTTTCCAAATAGTTTTCCCTTATTTTTTATAATTGTTTTTTTTAGTTTAATGGGATGGAATTAAATAGTTAAGCTACCATACTAATGAATGTGCTTTATTGAATTTTTAGTAATCAGAATGTGACAAAATGAACACCTCTTTGTGTTTTTAATTTTTCTCACCTTTTCGGATTCAATCCCATGCCGCCATGTCCAGCTCGCTCGGTTACCATAATTGACACAAAAATTGGAAGTACCATATACCCAGTCACAAACACTCAGGAAATCACAGCCACGTGAAAAGAAGCTTCCTTTTTTTGCTGGTCAAAGAAAGCTACTTCCTTAAAAACCAGAAAAGTCAAAGCGACTGCCTTTTCTCTCTCTTCTCATCACCATCACTTTTTGTGTCTAATTGGAGTAAGTGTTTTCGGATGCCCCTACTTTGAATCTTCAATTTTTTTCCCTGCGTCTTTATTTACATTCTCAGCTTTTACACTACAACCGTTAGATCTGTTATTTTGTTTTCTCTCTCTTATTTTTTTTTGGTTTTCAACAATAAAGTCATCATCTTGCTTCCCCATTAACATTTAGCGCAAATAAACAAATTCAAGTTTTATATTGGGTTTAATGCATGCCCAAGATTGGATTTTGGGCAAAGTTTTTGAAAGTTAATGGTTACATTGCTGACGATTAATATGTAAACATGTTAAATTCAACCAGGTGCATAGACTTGAATTGCAACGTTACATTTCCACTTTTATTTATAATTGCACCATAGAGAACCACTATAATTCTGAATATTGTTATGCTAATTAAACGCTTAATAAATTTTGTAAAAAAAAAAAAGATTGTATATGGTTCCCACAAATTTAGAATGTGCAAGAACTAGGAAAAAGAATTTGTATACATTGTTTGTTCATTTAATTTTGCTAAATATTAATTTTACTCTAATTGTTTGCTTTGTGTTTTAGGTTTTTGGAATTTTGATGTTTGGTAGTTATTTTTGTGTTTCGATTAAAGCATTTGGTAATCTATGACTCTGTTGGTGCATGATCTCAGGATTCCAAATATAGTTCTCAAACTATATTTTGGGATCCCACTTCATATGCCAATACATTTTGTAATATGGATCAATGAAATTAATTGCTAATTTTTAGACTTTTGCATAACCTGATTTCTGAGTTCGACTCTGCAAATAATTTTAAAATACAGTATAAACCTGATTTCTTAGTGGTTTGGATTTATGTAATCTCATCATCTCATGGTTTCTTTTTGTTGAGCAGAAAGCTTGGGAAATTGTACAGGTCCCATTCAAGAATTTGGTGATGATGGTTTCATGATTTGGATGGCTGGGAGTATAGTGTATTTGTTTAGCACTGAATCACATTTTCCGCTCTTTGGCAACCCATAATCACCTTACATGGTGTAGAGAAGGGTAAATGATTCTTATTCTGTTAATTGGTCTGTATGTGTTTGATTCTCCACTTCAACTCCTTTATTTGGTAGTGTTATATATTCTGTTCATACAGTATAGACTAATGCTTAAATTAGATATTGCTAAACTTCTAAATCCTTAGCTGCTCTACCTTGAATACATTTCGAGTTATTTTATATAAGATTTTCCCTTATGAACAAGTAAACTAAATGGAGTGATTCTTATATTTCTTAAGATTTGGTTCCCCAAAATGATTGTGACGATGATGAAAAATGTTTTATTATGTGATTTTAAAAAAAAAGGGTCAAATACAGTAAAAGTAACTCAAACTATGTCATTCAGGGAGGGAGGGAGGGAGGGAGAGACAGAGAAATGGATTTGGTGAGAGTAAGGCATGCGGCTCGCAAGCAGACAGAGTTCTAGGGTTTAAGAGTTGGTTTCAAGAAAGTGAACGGGCTAGAGTGGGGGTAAGGCTTGGGCTGGGTTTGTGCAATGGTGCTGGATTAGTTACAGACAGAGAAGGCGATGAGGACGTGGAATGTCAGGGACAGGAAGGGAGAGGGAGGTCTGCCAAAAATTAGGATTGATGGTGAGGAGATTTTAGGGCAGGCATGAGGCCATGCTGCCTCTGAGATAGAGATAGAGAGAGACACAGAGAGAGAGACAGAGCGAGAAAGGGCGGGATTTCACAGATTTGCAAATTCATCCCCTTGCTGACAGTTCCGATCTGATTTGAAGATTTGTCAACTGGCTATAATTTCATGGTAGCTTGGTTTAAAGCGGTTCCAAAATATGGGATCGTTTGGAATATGTTCCCCTCTCTCTCCATCTCAGATCTCTGCAGTTTCATAAATTAGGGTCACAAATTTCTCTCTAACTTCTGATTTTTTAATTTGTGCTCAGTTTTTTGTTTGTTCAGATTTTCGACCTATGGTCTGATTGACATTGGGTTTGCTCGAGTTTACAGATCTATGTGTGCAGCAAGCAAAATCCTTTCATTCATATGAGCTTCTTGATCCTCTTTAACTTCACAGCAGCTGACCTACCTGGGTTAGTAATCTTAAATTGATTTGTTAATTTCTGTTGTTAAATGGTTATCTTTAATTGATTCCTTCCAGGTTATTTTCGTCTGCAGCTTTTCTTTCGGCTCCAGAATACCATATGGAGACATATCATCTTTCTCTTCTCTCTCTCTCTCTCTCTTTCTCTCTTCATGATCTGTGTCTTTCTTTCTTTAGGTGCGCACCATCAGGGTTTATTATTCTTTGTTTTCAGGTCAGTTTCCTTTTTTTTTTTTTTTTGGTTTTTTTTGTAGGTTTTTAGTTCGTTAATTTGTCACTATGTTTAGATTTTTCGTTCGTGCATGATTAAATGGGCATTCGGTTTTGGTTGTTGAAAATATGATTTTTTTTTTCTGCTTAAGCTTCTTCCTCTTTTTTCTAGAATTTTTGGATTTCAGTTGCAACGGTAAACAGAACACTAAAATCGATATTGGCAGTTGTATTAATGCATTTTCATTTTCGTTGCTTTGCAGGATAGGTGCATTGAGACCTAAAAATGTATGCGTGAACTTCATACATTTTTGTGAGGCTCGGAACCTTGAAGGGTAAGTGTTTTTGCTTTGTTGTGATGTTAAAATGATGTGAGTGTTGGGGTTGGGGAAGGATACTGGTTCTTCCAGATTACTGGATTATGGTTGTTAAATTGACACGTTCTTAGATTATTGGATTACGGTTATTTACCTTCTCTTTGAGTTTAGCATGTTTGAGAATTGATAATGGATTTACTATGTTTCAGGATTTTGGATCGTTGGAGTAAAAACTTGGTTCTTTGGCATTTGAAGGTATATAATCATACACCTTTTTTTGTTCAGAGCTTAATCAAGAGGACAGCCTTATTTAGATTTTCTTCTCTGTGAAAAAGTGAATTAGACCTCAATTTTTTTAGCATTCTCTAATTTCTGTGATGTTTGATATGTATTTTATTTTATGGTTTGTGACATCTGTTATACCAATGTTTACTAAACTATGATTCATGTTTTTTATTATAGGGCTAAACATGTTCGTCCACCGAAAAAATGACTGACTAGAGTCTCCATTATAAATTGCCACAAAGTTGCTCTGCCCGTTTTTTTGCCTTTAAAACATGTACAGCTGAAAACTTAGTTGTTGAAGCAACAACAGAACCTTTTTTTGAGTTTTTTGTAACTGCTTAAACAAGTGCCTAGATTCTAGAGTATGTATTTTGTCACCTTAACTATAGGGGAAAATATGTGTCAACTACATCTTCCTTTTGTAACTAACAAAAACAGGCATCCTACATCTTTATTCCTTTGAACATTTGGCTTTCTTTTTTGTAAGTACTTAAACAGGTGCCTAAGACTGCAAGGCCTGTATTTTGTCACTATAACTACAAGGGAAAAATATGTGTGAACTACCACTTTCTTTTATAACTTATGGAAACAAGCATACTGCATCTTTGTTACTTTGAACATTTATACTTGAAAGATTAGCTTCCAAAAAAATTGCTTTTTTTATTTAATGTTGATATGCGTACTGTTTTTAGTTAATAGAAATTGGCTGGTAATTAACAATATTACCATTTAGATGCCTTCAATTGTTCTTATTGAAAGTATTTAGTTG